CTCACCAACTACGTCCAACTTTTTATTTCTGAAATCATTGCACTGTTCATCAGCATCTCTAACAGTTGCTAATATAATCTTAGTCATGTTGTTGTCGCAACCATCAAGATTAATCATCTCAGAAATGAGGTCGTGTTTGTAGCGATTGTAGGATTGCGAATACAATGATTAGACAGCCATCTGATTGTGACTTCCATCGTAGGAGCTTGATAGGGATTAGCTATCCATTGATTTTTAGACAGCCTACAGAACCCCCTCTAAAGTTTTTGAAAGTTCGCGGTTGACTGGGATGAATTTTCGGAATACTTTGGATCCCAAAATTTAGTAGATCGATTGCTCACTCTGTCTGATCGAGCCAGATGACTTCAATGTTGTTAATTGTAATTTATCTGTACTTTTCCAATAGACTCCCCAGTGGAGTCGTCTGCTTCTTCCCGGCTTTGATCACCTTGATGATTGTTGTTAGCTCTTCTTTTACTCATCTGGAGGCTGTGTCGTAGCCTTGGTAGTCAAAAAGGCTGCCATCATAGCGGTCCAAACGCGGAGATACTTTCTGCATTTGAGGATTAGAACGCGTGGGTGAGCCCTGCGTTGGAGAATTTAAACGCGTGGCTGAACCTCGCGTTTGGAAGCTCAACCAACTCGAACGCGAGGGTCGAGTTTAGGCGGGATTCTGACCTCGAATCCCGTCCGTTACGATTTGACAGCTCACAGCTGTCTATAAATAGACCGTTGAAGGTCAAATCAAGAGTCATTCGACTCTTCTTGAAATTCCAACGAAAATTTTCGTTCTCTCCGGCGAAAACTATTCATCTCCTCCGACCAGATCTCATGGCCCCCAAGAAATCTTCCAAGCCCGACGTCGCTTCCAAGTCTGATGCCGCTGCGGCTCGAGGACCGACATCGTCAGTGCCGGCCGGCGGCGCTGTCAGATTCTTGACGCGGGGGTCGACCTGCGCGTCTGAGATTTTTGACGCTAGGTTCGACCTTCGCGTCCAAGCTTATCTGACGCGGGGTTCGACCTTCGCGTTCGAGCTTATCTGACGCGGGGTTCGACCTTCGCGTCTAAGATTATCTGACGCGGGGCTCGACCTTCGCGTCTGATCTTGTTTGACGCGGGAGTCAACCTTCGCGTCTGAGCTTTGATTTGGAGTTGTCTAACTTTTTTCGTCCTTTTGCAGTGCGCCATACCAATGAACCTCTTCCTTTTCGCCACCATTTTGGTCATGAAGGTGGTGCGGACATGAACATGACCTTCAGCTCGCGCCAAGAACTCCTAGTTTTCCGAATTAGGGAGAAGAGTCACATAGAATTAATTACCCAAGCTTCTCCCGACACTCTTAGGACATTGGTTACGGACGCTCGACTTGAAAGCCCAAGCCGTAAGCCAATAGTCAAACCTGGATACCTCTTCGGGGACTTCGTGGACTTCGAAGCAAGCACTGCTTACGATGGGGACTATAAATGGCTGCGGAAAGTTAGGGACCGCAACCTTTTCTTGCCCAATATGGAGAGGATGTTCCCCATATCTTATTTCCAGTGTGCTTATGTCCCCAGGCGTATGGATTGGCCCCTGGTTAAGGATCAGGATGGGGTCACCCTCGGAACTCTGACTTTTCACGGGGTCCGCACAGTTGGCTATAACCGACAGGTGACTGCTTTACGGCCGGGTATGTTTGCCAAGGAATATCCACTCGGCGAAGTGCCCAGTCCGGCAAATACCTTCGTCAAGAGGTTTGTAGAAAAGAAAGGAGAATTCCCCGCGCAAGGATTCAGAACTCCCCCAGTGTAAGAATCTATTTGGGGTTCATTCACCGGACCTAAGCGTTCTTTGACCGGAGCTTTGCCTCGATCTTCAGGTAAAGGATTGAGGCTATCCGCCATTATAATTTTAGATTTCGACAGGTCAGGACTGACCCAGGGTTTCACTGGTGACACAGCGGGTGTTGACACAGTAGACGAACCCGGAACGGACGTTAATGGAGTCGAAGAAGTACTCTTGTGAAACTTCTTTTGGCCGCGGCAATGATTGGTGTCACGGTCGAACAGTGTGCCGCGGCAGCGGACAGTATGAACTGTCGCAGTTGAAAGAAGCGTCGCGGCAGTGAAGACTGCCGCGGTCAAAGGTTGTGTTCTGCAGACCCAATTTTCGTACGAGTTTGGATTTGAGGATCCATACTTTGTGATTATTTGGTACTTCCTTAGACATTGTTTTCTTCTTTCCTTCTCGTCTTTGTTGTAAAAGAGCACGGGCACGAGCGGTGTTTACCATACGCTTTTGTATGCGTTCTTTGAGGGTCAAACGGGCCTTTTTGACAAGATTCCATTCCTCCGACGTAGGTTTTACTGAGATGTGAGTGATTTGACGTTGAGGCGACTGAACCATTTGATGTTTCCTCGATTCTAAGTCCGCATAGTAACGAACTTCATCGGTTTGTTCCAAGGCCTTAGCCAATTAACGAGCGCGGCGTTGGCGTCGCCTCTGACGAGCCCTCTTCGTCAGAGTTGGCGAACTTCGATCGAACGACTCCTTAATTAGGGTGGAATCATTATGAGCAGAGCTTCCGGCTTTGGGGGTTGCCGGGATAATGTTACGAGGTAAGGCCTCAACAACGATTGGGCGAGAGTCTTCACTTTTAGCCTTCTTTGGCGTATAAGCTTTCTTCAATGATGAGATCCTCTTGTACTTGCGAGATAATGAAGATCTTGAAGAGGATGATGAGAGATATTCCTCAAACTTGGTTTGGTCAAACTCGTATTCGACCGTAGATTCAACTGGAATCTTGATTGGGTGCGACACGACGGTCTCGGCAGCGAGATCGTTGCCTCCCACTGTGGTCGCCAGTTTGTTTTCGTCGAAAGTTGGTTTCATTGTGGAATTCATTATATCTTCGATCGATTACAATAAATTCAAAAGAAAATAGTCTTTTTATAAGACCTCTTTTACACAATAAAAGAAAAATTATAACTTTCTAGAAAATAACACAAAAATCGTTTATCGATTCCTGTTTTGTGGGACTTTGCCTGTACCGGGAGTGCTTTGACTCTTGGACCACCGATTCACAGATTCTGATTGAATCGTGAAGGTTTTGGAGATTCTTTCTTCGTTTATCGAAGTAAGAATTTAAAGCGAATATCTTATCGATGTAAGATGTTCACTCTTCTAAAGATCAAGTCAGGGCTTAGATCTCTAGGAATGGCCAAAAGCTTCTTGAGGATGTTTGTGAAGAAGGAAGACTCTCTCTCTTGCTCCAATTCACAAAAAGCTCAAGTCTCTCTGCCTTAATTGCTCTCTCCAATCTGTCCTCCTATCAATGATGGCCCTAGGAGGGTATTTATAGTCTTCTTGGATGATAACTGGAGAAAATAATTGATCAGCAACTGCCCTCTTAGGCGCGGCAGCCATAGGTGGCCCGGTCAAAGGAGTGGTTCCCCCTCCTTTTTTGTAACCGCCATCCCACAACTTTTTACTCCTTAAATGTCACGATTTTCGTGGGTAGCCACTACTTAAATACCATCTTTTTATGAGGGTAGTGGGCATGATTTTCGCTTGTAACTGCTTCCCCCACGTTCATAAGTAACCCCCAGCAGTTAATAGACCATGTGGGCCGCACAAAACTCGAGAAAACTGTCAAAAATGACGTGTTCAGCTTCCCAGTGGCCGCGACAGTACGTGGTGTCGCGCATTGTCGCGGCAGTTACCACTGCCGCGCACCTCTCGAGTATTTTGGCTCTAACTTCCTCGTCCGATGTCGGAATGAGGTGATCCAAGATGCGTTGGAAAGTTGACGAAGAGATCTACAACTTTTTTCTTTTGAGCTTCTTCAGATTTGGATCATATCATGGTTTAAATGTGCAATATATTACCGCGGCAGTATACACTGCCGCGCACCTCCGGATTTGGATCATATCATGGTTTAAATGTGCAATATATTACCGCGGCAGTATACACTGCCGCGCACCTCCGATGCAATTTGCGACCTCTCGGGTATTTTGGCTCTAACTTCCTCGTCCGATGTCGGAATGAGGTGATCCAAGATGCGTTAGAAAGCTATCAAAGAGCTCTACAACTTCCCATTGGCGCTTCACTCTGTTTATTTGCGCGTCACCTTGTACTGTCGCGCTATTGCCACGGCAGTGTACACTGCCGCGCACCTTCAATGCAGTTTGCGACCTCTCGGGTATTTTGGCTCTAACTTCCTCGTCCGATGTCGGAATGAGGTGATCCAAGATGCGTTGGAAAGCTATCGAAGAGCTCTACAACTTCTCATTGGCGCTTCACTCTGTTTATTTGCGCGTCACCTTGTACTGTCACGCTTTTGCCGCGGCAGTGTACACTGCCGCGCACCTTCGATGTAATTTGCGACCTCTCGGGTATTTTGGCTCTAACTTCCTCGTTCGATGTCGGAATGAGGTGATCCAAGATGCGTTGGAAAGCTATCGAAGAGATCTACAAATTCCCATAGGCATATCACTCTGTTTGTGTGCACAACACCTTCCACTATCGCGCAAATGCGCGTCATTGTTTCTTGCCGTGGGTGTTCATATTGTTCTTCTATGTTGTTTCACATGTTCCTTTACTTCTTTTGATTTTGGATGATTTCCTCTAACTTAGATAGGGATATTTATATCTATAGGTATTTTTATACGCCTACAAGTATACATAGAAAAGTGGACTTTAATTAGTTTTCATTGGCCAAAATATGTACGGCCATAACATTCTGCATAAACATCCACGTACATGACTTTGTTAAAAGCATCAAAAACTAGTCCGATTCATCTTCTAATCCAATCCGTGCATGAATTAGTCGAAGGCATTGAGAACTACTTTGATTTAGCTACAGTAAGTGCACGTACAAGTGCGACCATCCAAAGAAATTTGTTCATAATTTTAGATTTGATTTGCCAGGATTTCAGAAAAAAAATTCTTCAAGTAACGTGATGTTGAAGCACCGACTTGGCTTGGGTCACATCTTCAACTCCCAGCAAAGACTAAAACCTAACAAAGAATAATGAGGGAATTCCCTGTTCCTTTAATCAATGCAGATATACAACTTAATACATAAACAACGCAAATAACTGACAAACAAAATATTCAGAGATGAAAATGTTTACAAAACCATGCCGTTATAAAACCATATCAGTATACAGATAATAACATGATCACTACCGTCTCAATTTACCCGCATGGAGTGAGCTTCTTGTTACCAGCTCCGCGTGGATGGTCATCTTTCCAATCATCCCATGCTCTGGCCTTTTCTTGAGCAGCATCATCATCTTCATCATCGGAGCCTTGTTTGGGAGGGCCATCATTGTGCCAAGATGAGTGTGCTTCCTGCATAAGCTTTGCGTTTCTCTCTTGCCATTTGTTCATCATCTCCATTTCTTGCAAGCCAGCTTCTTCTATGCTCATTGTGGGCATTCTAGAAATTTCAGAAACCGTGAAACAATCTTTAGTTTTGGAGAGCAACTAATGCACAAAATGATCTTAATCTTGTCTCTATCCTATTTGGTCAGCATAATCCTGAACCCTAAAGATGAGAAAATATTTTATATGTTTGCATGCATCATGTGTGGATCGAATCGCCTCTTAGTTCCAGCTTCAGCTTTACCTGTTTCTTTCTCATAGGTTTAGGCCAAAACAGCAGCAGTAGTTTTTAGTAGTTAGGCAAGATTCCTACAATCTGTCTTCTCATAAGCTAGCCTTTGTGCATATCCTAGTCTCTGTTTTACAGAGAAATCCTATTTGAAAAGGCTAAGAATAAATGGAAAATGAGAAGTTAATGACAATAAAGTAAAAAAAATTGCAATTGTAGTTGCCCATCACGAATGCGCCCGTCCCCTAACCTTAGCATGATAAACTCCCTAGGTTATATTAGAGGGTTAAACGTTACCCAAAATGAATGCCTTGACACAATAAGAATCCATATTCAAAAATGTCCAAAATAATGGATAGAACAAGAAGAAACAAACACCTGTGACTTGGTTGAAAGACTTGTGCTGCAATTCTTTCCCTCTCACTGGTTAATCTTCCACCGATAAGACTTGCAGGTCCAAATATCAGCGGCTTGTGTTTATGTTCATGCACATCAGAAGCCTTCGCTCTCCCTTCAATAACATCTTGGGCAAATGTGGCGCATGTGATTGGCTGAGCAGGTTTCAAGAATGGGGCTTGACCTGCAGCATTCCTGTGCCAAGTTTCAGCTCTCTTTGTACGCTCATCAAGTATTTCACGAGCAAGTTCATTGTCGCCTTCCTACATTTTAGTCCAGTAAAATTTAACTGTTTACTGTCATAAAAAGAAAAAATATAGGGGAAGAGATCATATCTAATGAAAATGAGAAAAACAAATCCACATAAGCAGATGATATAGGAAAAGATGTTTAAAATAAAACATTTTCATGATGTGGCACTATCATGTTGTCAGCAAAGTGGAACAGCATTCACCATAGGTTTTGTAACTTCTGGCACGTTATCAAGAAGCAATCAGGTTTGGGGTAGCCATTAGTAAGTAGTTACGTCTAATAACAGCTACGAAAAAAAATTAAAATCAAGAAAATAGAGCATTGGCCTTTGAATATAGAAAAATATTTGTGCATGAGACTTTGAATTGTTCCTCCGCAGTACGGATTGTTACTTACGCTTGCCAGAAGAAAATCAAAATACGAGCAAAATGGAAATGAGAAACATCTTTTGCAAATGGAAAAAATCACAAGGGGCTTCCTCATCACTGAAAAAAGCATGGATATATGCCCATTAGTTAGAGTAGAGTGGAAATAAGTGTTACTGAAGACAAACTGGAAGACAAATAAAGGGTTAATGAAATGGAAAATGGGAAGTACATGGTTCAGACTTCAAAATTCTTAATAACAAAGAAGAGTTAAAAAATAAATGAATACACAGAACAAAGTAACAAACCAGTCTCAACAAGTCACAGGCAAATCGTGAAACATTAAGAGCAGCATGAGGATGAAAACATTTGAGAATCTTCCGAAATTGCATCCATCAGAAAATGATGAACCAAAGAAATGTTATAAATATTTGATAAGGCACAACAATGATAGATGTGATTTTATATGTAACCCATTGCCTAAGATGATGCGCTAATAGAAGTCTATAAAGGAGAGGAGTTCCGAGATTGAATTTGGTAGAGATGGGGATACCATTTAGTAGCCCTTAAAACTCATGAGTAAATGGTTTCACAAACCTGACAGCAGCTAAGAATTGGATAAGGCTAGAAGGTGATTTTAAGGTATACCTTCAGTTAGAGAAACAGAGACAGTTTGATAATGTTACCTCCTCTTTTTGTGAGTTGTTAATTTCCTCTCACTCCAGCAAAGCATGGAAAGGCATCAGCAACAAATAATTTCTCAAGGCGTTATGATAATGGAAACCTTTGAAAAGAGTTTGTTTTAGGCCATACTCATAATCTAACAGTCGTCATTTTTTACCCATCCATATTATTTCCACTGTTTACTGTATTTTAGGTGTAACAGGTGCACATATTTGAAGGCATAAAAAACAGAATATTTCATGTTGGAAGTTATAGCAGATGCACGCATGGAGATGAAGGGAAGTAGTAGTTTCAGACGTGGACGTGAAATATCAAACACGAAAATCATTCCGAACTCCGAACATGAGGACACAGCTATATATGTACATTTCTTCTGAATATAATATGTTCAAACTCATATGAACTTACGTACTGGGTTATTCATACAAAATCCTAGTAAAATGATACATAGAAAACATTAGCTTTTGTTAGACAGGAAAAACATAATTTAATGTCTTCTAAAGTAAATAACAGTTTTACACATTTGTAAGTATCAGATGTGGAAAGACACATGTATCATATCTGCAAGTGTCAGAGGTACCCAATTAGTAGTTGCAGAAAGTGTTCTACGTATCATACTCCATAACTTACAACATTACAAAAAAACAATCTGATCTTAAAACTCAAATTTAGAGGCACATAAACCACCAAAAAAATAATACAGCAAATGAATAAATGTTGTTTTTCAATGCTAGGTTAAAAGTATGGTTTGAAACATTAATCAATCAAGGATGAGTTTTGGTTTTCATCGCTCTACCATGATTAATTACAAATTTGATAACTAATTTGTAGCCGGAACAAAGAAAGCAGCAATTTTCCATTACAAAATAGAGAAACATTAATCGGCTATAGATTGATACACCAAAAGAATAGTCTTTAGTGTGACCATTAAAGTATTTCATATAATGAAGCAATTTGTAAGTTCCCCATCTAATGATGGCAAATGAATAATTTCTCACAAGTGCACGGATTTACTCTCAATATCCAAACTTTGGTTAATGTTGACAAGGGAGAGCAGGTGACAGTATAGTATTGCTTCATAGCAGACCTCATTTTGATGGGAAAAGACGATAGACGAGGGTTTTCATGTTTCTCCAGTTAGACCTTCTCGCACATACAAATTAGGAAACAGGTGAGAACATTCGGCTTATCAACTTATAGGTTATAAGCCGAACTTAATGAAGAATGCATAGTAGAATCTTAAAAGATGTAATGTTTCGATCATGGATCTGTTGATTTAATCTAAAAGAACATCTTCTCAAAATAATGTAATCTATTGATTCTAATTCAGTATTCAGTAACCATCACATTTGACTAACCTTTGAGAGAGAAAGTAATCATTGGACAACTTTTAATGAACAAGAAGCCACACAAAACAAATCAATTAAACATATGAAGATAGTACCCCTAAACTTCAGAGATTCAGAATTCTTCTGCCTTTCTTAGATCATTTTCTTTTGTTTTTCTGAATGTTTAGGTGGAATTCTGTGGCACCTGATATGTGCACTTCAGTTTGTTTTGTTTTACATTTCTAGACTTTCGTACCTCTCTTTGTTCTGGTGGGTAGGGTCAAATCGAATGAAATGAACAATGGGATGGTTGGGTTCAAATTTGAATTCAATTCATTTAGCATACTCGATATTTGATTAAAATTCATGAATATTCGGTAAGGCAAGGGTTTGTCGCAGGGCAACAGGGAAGAAGAGAGGGGACTGCAGCCTTGATGGGTTTGGTTTAGGGTTTGAAGTGAGCTACAGACAAGGTTGAGAGGTTCATGATGAGTTTAAGGGGAAGAAAATGGGCTTTTTTGGGTTTTTTTTTTTTTTTTTTTTTTTTTGGGGGGGGGTGCTGCGAATGATCATCAAGGAAGCAGCAAACGGCGCAACGAATAGGTATTTTGTTGTGACAGAGACTAGAAAGAAAGGACAGAGGAAGAGAGCAAATAAAAACTCGGGCTGGCCCATACCTCTAGCAAACAGGTGTACTTATTTATATGGGACCTGATTTGTAATTAAAGTTCAAGCTGGACAGTATTTACCATAAGTTAATTATTAAACAAAAATGTAAAGCATAAACAAACAGTAAATAATCAAATGAATTGAATGTACATTTGGTTAAATTTTATTCGTTTATAAATTAGTACTAAAAATTATGTCTACCATTAAATGAACCAAATACTTAGACGAATAATTAACAAACTATTTGTCAATTACTCAGTCTGTTTCCACCCCTACTGCTGAGTAGTTTCGTTGTCTGAATTTTCTTTTTGCTGTTCTTATCTCTTTTTCCCCCTCCTTTCTTGGTGGTGCATGAGTCATGAGTGCAACTGAATGTGGTAAAGATGAGGTGTTTGTGATTTCAAATATTCAAAAGGAGAGATCATTCTCTTCAGTGATTTTTCCAAACTTTAAGAGGTGAAATAACGTGGTGCCTACCGTCAAGCCAGCACAAATACAATAGTGAAACTTATCCATATTGTCACCTACAGGCTCAATTAATAAAAACTGACTACTGATGGTACCTTTGATTGTCTCTCTTTGACAGCAAGAAGCATCTCTTCCTCTTTCTTTAACATTTCTAGGAGATCAAAAGCCTGCGAGGGAAACAAAGAGTAACCAACTTCATCAAACTGCAGTGAAAGTTAAATATCGTTAATCAGGTCCTTGAATTACATACAGACCTTACAAATGGCCAAAGATATGGAGGTTAGCCAAGCCTGAAATAGAACAATAAAACAAAATTGATCACAAAGATGGCAACAGTGAGAAATACAGCTACAAATGTGTGTGTATGAGAGTGAGACAGACAGAGAGAGAGAGAGAGAGAGAGAGAGAGAGAGAGAGAGATTGATTTTTAACATAATGCCTAAAGGACATCTTTTTGGGGCACAATGGATTTAAGATAATGCCTAAAGGACATACTCTAGGGGCTAAACATAACAATTAAGAAACTAGCTATCGGAAAAGAAAAACAAAAGGATATTGCCTGGTCACCAAAAACAGGACTCTACAAGATGATAATATCCAAATTAGAGGTGACAAGACCAGACACAAAGAGAGGCTCACATGATACCTATATAGGTTAACCATGCAAAGAAAAAAAATCTGGATGCATACATATTGATTATCCTCAACTATTGCATACAAAAAACAACATTAAGAGTTACATCCAAATATGACTATCCACAAATTATTGCATTAGAACGGACCTCCCTTTCTTCCTCCCCATCATCATCATCCACTGCATCCTCCTCCTGAGACTCAACTGGGGTGGACAAAGCTGCTGCTCTCAAGGATCGTCCTCGCCTTTCCTTTCTTTCTTTGATTTCTTGCAGCTTTGCTTCTGCAGCTCTCTGGCGTTTGAACCTAGCAATCTAACATTCAGGCAATGAGAAGGGAGTGAGTTTTTCATGAAATATAGGACCAACTATGATTAAAAAAGTCAAACAGGAATAATTTGCAATAGTACACATTCATTCAAATGCTAGCAATAAATATATAGAATTTAACATGAATAATAATGTTACTGAGACGAACAATCAATTCAATCCATGCAATTCTAGCCTACATCTCTACATATATTACAAATATTTGACAACACACTAGAAGCGCAAAATAGTCTGTCTGAACTTTGGATTCCACTCAAAAAGAACATAGATGTCAGAAATATACCAAACATGCCTCAATTAACTTATATACGAAGAGGCCGAGACGATTGCCAATATCGTCTAAATCCAACTGCCGCCAAAAAGCCTCATGCAGAATAAAAATTAAACAATATTTTACAAGGAGCTCACGTTATGACTTTTACACCATAACATAGTAAGATTTTTTTCATACCACAATCTATATCAACATGGCTAAAAAGATGCATTCTCCCCAGGAACCCCCCAGTGTATCAAGATACCACTGAGAAAAACGATTAGAAGGGATGATGGTTTCAGGTTCAACAGGATGCATGGATAGATAACAAATTTTGATTGCAGGTCGATAGCACATAGGTGCAACATAAGAATATTCCAAAAGGAAAATGTATGAATGTGACAGAGAAGACACGTTCAGTAGTTAAGGCTGTGAACGGGAGTTATTATAGTAAAGTTTTATGTCAGGTGCTTTCCTGAACATGACACTTGTTGGCATGCATTTCTTTTTGTATTCTATTATAGACTTTGCTAAGCATTACATACATTACCATAATCCACGATCCTTAGAAAGTTCCCAATAGCCTGTCTAATGTTGTTTCGGATTGATCTACCAGAGTTTCCATTTTTATCCTTACATAGAATTTTAAACTATGGTTTGAAATAGCAGTAATTCAACATTAAGGTTTTAAATGTCGGATGTCAGGTTCATATTGGACGGCTAAAAGCGAAAATTGGGGGTATGTCAGGGACGTGAAATACAAGGTTTTAAATGTCGGTTTGAGGGCTTGAGCGACACAACATGGGCATTTTCAACTTATATGTCGGTTTTCAGGGCCAAATCGAAAATATCGGGACCATATCGGGCATATCGGCCTATTTTTCAGCTTTGAAAAATCGGCCGATATGGCCCTTTTTTTAGATCTATTTTCTGTTATCGGGTTTGGGTTTAGTGATAAAAACCCAAACCTGTTTAACCCATTCTCATGTTTAAGGGTTTCTTATGAACCCAATAGAAAGAAAAGAGGAAAATTAGGGTTGCAACAAACTTGAAAACTCATCACTCCTTTTGTAAACGATGACGCCCTTCCCCCACCTCCATCTCGGCCCTTCGTCGTCCATCTCCCATTGCGCCCCAAAATCCAAACTCCAACTGAACCCGAGGGCGATAGGATATCCCATCGTCGGGATAAAGGGAAGAGGGTGGTCAGTGACTCATCTGAGGGACCCCGAGCAGACGAAGAAGAAAAAGAGCCCCGACACTACCTCCCTGCGACGTACCGTCAACACTGCCTCCCTGCATCGTCGGAATCCGCCGATCGCCGGCTCTGTCTCTAAAATTTATAAAGTATGTTTATATTGAATTTAGGAAAACTTAGATTACATTTAGGATATGATATTATACATATGCGCACCACCCGATATGACAATCTGATATTTAGTTTGTCCCCCGATATATCCCGATTTTCGCTATCCGACATGGATTTCAGTCGTCCGACATGAACCCGGCATTCGACATTTAAAACCTTGGTGAAATAAATATTGGATTGTTAATATCGGACAGTGTGCATATACATATGTGTAGTATGATATACTAAATGGAATCTAAACATACTTAATAAATTCTATTGTCTAAACATACAAACATATAAATAAGTAAATAACTGTGAATTGGCTAGACATTTTTTTTCATTCCAACTGAAGATCAACATGAACTCGTTATGTATTAATTTAATAGTACCAAATGAATCAACATTCTAGCATATAGTTGCATCAATTTAAGAATATTCCAACTCAAATATCACATTTTTCCAACTCAAATATATAACAAACATCTAACATTGATCAAAAGTAAAAATATACGAGGGAGAGAGTATGGGGCATACCGAGAGTGTCTGATTAACATTTAAAATTAATCAAAAATCAAAAGTCAAAATGTCTAACTAACATATAAAATTAAGAGGGAGAATGACTAAGAGTGACAGATATTTGAGAGTGAGACTAACATTGCATTAAATGATCTATTTCTTCAAAATTAGACTTGATTTAGTAGGAGGGGAGGTAGAGTAAGGTAAGGGATTAAAGCAAAGAGAGAGAGATAGATTTTGAGAGTGAGACTAACATATAAAATTAAGAGGGAGAGTGATAAAAAGATGGAAGAGGGCAAAGAGACTGAGAGTGAGTCTGACCTTGTATTAATTGATCTATTTCTTCAAAACTAGGCTTGGTTTAATAGGAGGGGAGGTAGAGTAAGGTAAGGGATTAAAGAAAAGAAAGAGAGGCTAAGAGGGATTGCTTGAAGCTTGAAGAGTTGAAGTCCATTCGAAGCCCCAATTTTCAACCTTGAAGTCGAAGCCCTAGTGTTCAACCTTGAAGAAGCGGAAGCCTCT